AAGTATTAAAGTGATACTTAAAACATAACATAAAACAAAACCAAGTATCAAACGATACTTAAAACAAACCAAGTATCAAAGCGATACTTAAAACAAAACATAAAACAAAACCAATAACCAAGGATCCCTACTGGTTACAGGAGGGGTGTTGGAGACCTGAGATACTAATTCTGAGTAGGACTACCCTACATGGGATGATTCCTAGGTATCAGATCCTGGTATTTCTAACAGATAATTAGAAAATTATAGAATTCCAAGAAACACTATGTCACAAATGTCGCTTGGCGAGGAAAAGGTTTTCATGTGATACATAGTTATGAGTCACAGGTATGTTATTGTTTCACACATATGATTCATTCGAGTGATATGATTTGTTATATGTGGGATTTGTGATGCTTTCGCACATGGCTTAAATATGAGTTATGGGACGTGCGCCTGATGAGTATACCTTGCGAGTGTGCCTTGCGAGTATGCCTTGCGAGTGTGCCTTGCAAGTTTGCCTTACGAGTGTGCCTTGTAGGTAGGCCTTGTGCATATGATTTATGTTTCATACATGACCTCGTTATAAGGTTATGGGTTTCACGCATATGACTCAGTCGAGTCATATAGCTTGTTTATTGTATTATAATTGGTTTATGAGTTTTTGCACATGACCTCGTTATGAGGTCATAGGTTTTAAGCATGTGACCACTTTGGTCACATGACTAGTTTGTTATGATTTGATTTCGCACATGTGACCACTTTGGGTCACATGACTACGGGTGGGAAGAACACTATATAAGAATACCAATGTGGCCAAGAAGGATAGGCTCTTCACGCTTTGTTCTAAGTACTTTTCCTACTTATTACTTTAACGAATCTAAAACACTTTTATGATCTTTATCTTTATTGCAACAATATCATTACACCAAGGAAAGCCCTTCGTGCAGAAGAGTTAGAGAAAACTTACAATAGGCGTTTCTGATAGAAGACAGAGGTCTTGTACTATCGGTAACATATGCAGATGCCTAGTACTATCATAAGACGAAGAAAGAAGGAGAAGAAGAAGAGAAGTTTCGTTCCCCATCGCCAAGAACTAACTATCTGAGAAGGAATTGTTACACACTACAATAGAAGTCAATAGATTTCAAGGAGTGTTACAACTAGGTCCAGGAGTGTGTTGTGGTTGTGGGAGTAATTTCTAATACCAGAACAACTATGAAAACTCTGTTACCCAAAGCAACTAAGGGTTGTGAACCAAGGAATTATCTGCCAATTCAATAGAATAGCTTTCTGCAAATTAGTTGAAAGTTATCTGAAAGATATCTGTCTGTTGGATCTGGAGTTATAGAGGTTAAAGGTCAGACGACTTAAGAAGGTTGAAATTGTAAATACCTCTACAGATACAACCTGCAGATGAAACTGATTATTTTATTAATAAGAAAGACAATTGGAGTCAACTCAGTTCAACTTGAGAGCTAGGCCATAAATCTAAAAGCTCTAAAGATCAGACAAGTACTATTGGGAACAGTATAGTTCCTAGTTAGCAATATTGTAATTACCAAAGGTCTGGTAGTTTTCAGGGTCTCCAAGTGTCAGCACCTTTGAAAAGTACCTGACATTGTAAGTTATAACCAAGGAGGTACGTAGCTTGTATATTAGATAGATATAGTATATGAATACTCAGACCCTGAATATCAATATCGAAGTGCCTCCTAAGCTTTATACATTATCAAGCAATGGAGAAGAGACCATAATAATATAATATTGTTCTTATAATTCTATTTTACTTTACCTATTTTACTTCACTCTTAGTAGTTATAAACAAAATGAGTATATTCTATACCTTCCTAGGCAATCTCTGTCTACAGAAATAAATCTTGGTTGGCCTTGACAACTCTAAGTCTATACAGGTTGTCTCTGCCTAATAGTCACAGGATTTGCACATATGACTCACTTGAGCCATATGACTTGTTTACGGGATTTTCACAATACTTATAGTTATGAGTTATCATCGTTAGAGTTGGTAAGAAGAGCACTATTTAACGAGGCCAGTACAGCTGAGGAAGATAGGCTCTTCAAGCATCATTCTTTGTAATTTCCTTACTATTACTTTATACTAATAAAATATTTTTATGCTCTTTATACTTTACATTTCTCAAGAGCCTAAGAGTAATATCTCTATACATATTAGGCAGAGATAATCTAACAGGCTTCACAAATATCTGAGCCAACCAAGATTTATTTCTGTAGACAGAGATTGTCTAGAAAGACTTGAATTCACTCGTTTTATTTATGACTACGAAGAGCGAAGTAAATTTGGTAAAGTAAGATAGTGTCACGAATATGGCTTGGCAAGAAAAAGGTTTTCATGTGATACATGGTTATGAGTCACAGGTATGTTATTGTTTTACACATATGACTCATTCGAGTGATATGATTTGTTATGTATGAGATTTGTGATGCTTTTGCATATCGCTCAAACATGAGTCATGGGAGTACGCCTGGCGAGTATGCCTTGCAAGTGTGTCTTGCAGGTAGGCCTTGCGCATATGATTTATGTTTCGCACATGACCTCATTATGAGGTCATGGATTTCACGCATATGACTCAGTGGAGTCATATGACTTGTTTATTGTGTTATGATTGGTTTATGAGTTTTGCATATGACCTCATTATGAGGTCATGGGTTTTGAGCATGTAACCACTTTGGTCACATGACTAGTTTGTTATGATTTGGTTTCTCACATGTGACCACTTTGGGTCACATTACTACGGGTGGGAAGAACACTATATAAGGAGGCTGATGCAGCCGAGAAGGATAGGTTCTTCACGCTTTGTTTTAAGTACTTTTCCTACTTATTACTTTAAAGAATTTAAAAACACATTTACGATCTTTATCTTTATTGCAATGATATCGTTACGCCAAAGAGAACTCTTCAAGCAGAAGAGTTAGAGAAAACTTACGATAGGTATTTCCAATAGAAGACAAAGGTCTTGTACTATCGATAACGTAGGCAGAGGCCTAGTGATATCGTAAGATGAAGAAAGAAGAAGAAGAGAAGTATCGTTCCCTGCCGCCAAGAACTAACCATCCAAGGTGGGATCGTTACAGATAGGATCGTAAAAATAATATTATATTGTTAAGGTCTCTTCTCTGTTACTTGATGATGTCTAAAGCTTGAAAAGCACTTTGATATTTATATTCTATGTCTGAGTGTTCATGGACTATGTCTATTTATTATTCAACTATGTATGTAACCAGTATGGGTACTCGGTTATTAGTTTTGTTTTATATTTTGTTTCAAGTATCACTTTGATACTTGGTTTATTTCAAGTATCGTTTGATACTTAGTTTTGTTTTGTTTTATTTTAAGTATTGTTTTGATACTTAAGTTGTTTTACCAAAGTGTATCATTTGATACCTTTGAATAGTTTCGTTTATGCTAGACATTAATGGATTTGTGTATTTAAAGACCACCTGATTCCATGATGGAAACAGCAGACTTCAAGAGACAGTATTTCAATATACTTGGTTGAACAGTTACCTCTTTGTTTCTCAGTACACTCTTGAAGCCTTCTTTAGTTCTCACCTCTCACCTTCTCTCTGCTAGAACAGGCCACCTGCCAGCTATCATACCTAGTACCAATAATGTGAATTGTACCTTACAAACATGTTATAATGTACCTCTGTGATTATAACTAGCAACATTGGGGATTCTTAACAGATACAAATACCTGGAGTCACTGAAAATTACCACACCCTCTTCGGTAATTACAATATAATTAACTAGGAGCTTTACGGTTTCCAATAGTAGTTATTTGAATCTTAGAGTCTTTAAACTTGTCGCCTAGTTCTCAAGTTGAACTGTGTTGGCCTCAATTGTCTCCATCATTGATAAAATGATCAGTTTCCTCTGTGGGTTGCATCTGTAAATGTAGTCGTAAATACAATCTTTTTAGGTCATCTGACTTCAAAGTTTCATAACTCCTTACCTAATCGATAGATATCTTCCAGAGGACTTCCTACTAATTCGCAGAAATCTATTCTACCAGATCAGCAAATATTTCCTTAGTCGGCAATTCTTAGTTACTCTAGGTAACAGGGTTACAATCACTGTTGTAGTATTGGGAGTTATCCCCACAACAACAATACATTTCGAAACCTAGTTACAACTCTCTGTGAAGTCCATTGGCTTCTATGGTAGTGTTCCTCGGAGTTCTAGACTCCTCTGATTATTGTAGAGTGAATGTGAATGTATTGGTCTCTTGTTGAAATCCTTTACCATTTGATATCATCTCTTTGTGTGAAAACGTCCTGTTATCTACAGCCCCTGCCAAAGACGTTATATCTTTGAAGCCTAGTAACTCTCTGGGAAGTTAACGGATTTACTCCATTCCACTTCCCAGACCTAGCCAATGGTCCCTGCTTATATAGCCTATAATCAGGATCCAGTCAGATAGATGGCAGTAACGTATACAATATTAATCTGACACCTTCAATTCTGTGGTAATATAGTCACAGGATGCAACTGAGATTGAGATTGATATGTATGATGACATGCGGGCCCCGTTAGGGGGCTGGAGGGGGGTGTTGGAGACCAGTAATTCTGATTCCGGGTGAGGTTACCCTACTTAGAGTGATTTCTAGGTATCAGATCCTGGTATTCCTAACAATATGTCAAGATAACAGGTGTTATCCAAGCAAGTGTAGGTAATGTAGGCCAAAGGGACTAAGAACTATTGAAGGAAGAAGATATATATATATCAAGAAAAGATATCATTGACCATTGCTATATATTAATAGGGACTTAGGAACATTACATTAGCATTGTTTTTTATTTTTATTAATTTTAATTCACAGATACCTCCCCATACCCTTTTTGTATTTATTCCTTTTTATTTTATCCAATTTGGTTGAGAAATGGTGGAGTTATGGCCACTTTTAAAATTTTGTTGTATTGTCCAGCTTCCTGGTGATGTCCCGCTTCCCGGTTCTTTACGTGATACCACAACGGCACGATGTCCCCTGTATCCCGTCTCCCCCGCCATTTCCCACGAATCCACCCCATTCTTCCAGCCAGCTGCAATCCCCGCAGCTATTCTAAAGCCCCAAAACTCAACAAATTCGTTCAAATCTCGGAGGAGGTACGTGGGGCACTAACATCAAAGACCCCCGTCGTAGCATTAGAGACAGCCATCTACACACATGGTGCCTAATAACTTCCTTCTCCCACCCCTTTTCACATGGCTAAAAATCATAGGCTTCCCATACCCAGACAACGTGGACCTAGCCATCAAAGTTGAAGCCGCCATACGCGAGGGCGGTGCTGTTCCCGCAACCATCGGGATCCTAGACGGGATCGCCCGTGTGGGATTTTCCCAGCCGGAACTAGAGTGCCTAGCGTCTACCGCGGGACAGAAGACCACTGTTAAAGTGTCTCGTCGAGATCTGCCGTTTGTCGTGGGGATGGTGTGCTTGCAACCCGGGAACCCTAACCCTGGATATACCGTGGCATGGCTAATTCAGCATTGGGTGGGACGGTAGAGACATAAAACGGCGTACAACGGCGGGACAACGATTGCGGGGACTATGCTACTCGCCCATATGGCGGGTATTAAAGTATTTGCGACGGGAGGGCTGGGGGGAGTGCATAGGGGGTATCCAAACCCAATGGATGTATCTGCGGACTTGATGGAGTTGGGGAGGACAAATGTTGCGGTTATTTCTGCTGGCTCAAAGGCTTTCTTGGACTTGGAGAACACCTTTGAGGTATTAGAGACCCAGGGGGTATTTGTCGGTACATTTGGTAGGGCCGGGACCAAGGTCATGGTTCCGGCCTTCTACAGCCGGGAGAGTCACATCATCAGTCCGAATATCCTGGAGAGTCCCGGGGACGCTGCTGGCGTTATATGCGTGTTCCCTATCGTACTATTACTATACCTCTAGCTAACAATGACGCCAGACGCAAGCCATGCGATGGGCTTATCCTCCGGTCAACTATTCTGCAACCCTATCCCCGAAGAATCCGAAATTCCGGAAAAGGACATCAACAAGGTTATTTCCGAGGCTGTGGAAAAAGCTCGCCATGAAGGGGTCTTCGGAAAAGACCAGACGCCCTACATCCTTAACGAAATCAAGGAAGTCACAAAGGGCGCCTCGCTACCCGCGAATATAGCACTCGTCCTGAATAACGCGAGAATGGGGACCCAGGTGGCGCAGGAACTTGTGAGATTTGAAAAAGGAGAAGAAGGGTTATAGACACCTCTTGATTTACTTCGCTTTGTTTTTGTTTTGAGAATTTCATGTATTAAGGCTCACAACACTATTTTGTACATAGACCTCTCCCCTCTGTTGCTTCCACTTCAAATTTCATACCGCCGGTGACTCCCCCTCCAGCTCTTCCGCCTACTGCCGTCGATCAGTCACCCACCACCATCACAGTCCCAGAAATCCTAGTAATTGGCAGCCTAGCGATTGATCAAACCCTCAAAACCACCACCAAGCTCCCTCAACTGCACACCTCCAACCCGGTAGCAACAACCGAAACCCTTGGCGGCGTCGGCAAGAACGTCGCCCTGGCAGCACACCTCGCCGGCGCAAACGCCCGCCTGGTATCCGCCGTTGGCAAAGACCTAGCCGGGACCTGGGCTCTTGAGAGACTCCAAGCGTTAGGCATGGACATTAGTGGCGTGAAGAAGATTGATGGCGGGGTCACGGCGAGGTACGTCGCGATTAATAATTCCTCTGGGGAACTATTCGTCGCGGGGGCGGATATGCGTGTTTTTGAAAGCGCGGAGATGGGCACTTTGGCTCGGGGGGCGATAGCCAAGGGTGTGAAGGTCGTCTGTGTTGACGGGAATTTGTCAGTGGAGGGATTGGCGGGGGTGGTTAGGGCTGCTGCTGGGCTTGATATCCCATGTTTTACTCATCCGCCCCCCCACCGCTAGGAGCAGCATTTGCTGATGGTGGCGGCGAATAGTAGCATTCGAACCAACCTCACCTTCAAAATCCACCCGCATCCTCTCCCCCACTCTCCCAATATACCCATCTACCTCCACGGTATCACTGACAACTCCAAACACCCACGAACTAACAGCCATGTTCGCCCACGCTCGCGAAATCGGGATGTTCGAGCGGGAGGACTGGTGGCGTGTCGTATGTGACATCAATATCGATTCGATATATTTTAATAGTACCTCCTCCCCTGCTGCTCATCTTTAGCAGCTAATGCGCCACAGGTGTAGCCCAACTCCCCACTCGCTTGAGCACAAACCTGCTGGAAGGTGGGATAATTCAGTCTGCGGTGCACCTGTCGCCGTACTTCTCCGGTATCATGGTTAAGCTCGGCGTGGACGGGGTTGTGCTTGTGCAGCTTCTTCCTCTAGCGACTTCTTTCACCTCCGCAGCCCTACCTCCCGGAACAATTGCCTCCCAGGGCGCGGGTTCTGTGGCAGGAGTTATGGTAAGGCATTTCCCGGCAGAGGTGATATCGCAGGAGAATATCATCAGTGTTAATGGTGTGGGTGACACGTATTTGGGTGTTGTGTTGGCGGGCTTGGTGAAGATGGGGATGAACGGGGCACATATCGAAGAGGTCATTGGGAGGGCGCAGAAGGCGGCGGGGCTGACGCTGATGAGTCCTGAGAGCGTTAGCGGGAGGGTGGTTGAGGTTGGGTGGCGGTAGTACGGGGTATCTGGAGGGTGTACTTGGGTAGAATTTTAAGACGCGAGTGATTTGTAGTGATGAATTGTGAACCTGGAAGCATCTGGTTGAAGGCTGTGTAAGAGGCGATAACAGTAACTTCATATTGGACATAGATATGACTACCGGTGGTTTCCAAAGAATCTAGAGGAAGCCGGCTCGAGGAACCCAAATGTTCATATTCAGGGAGTCGATTGGTGACTTTAAGTGGGCTATAGAAGCGGTCCGAATATTCTAACATTAGCGGCCCATTAGGATATCAAAACCATCTCCCTAGGAAATTTTTCTAGCTCAGCAAATATTGTACCAGGCGCCCAATCACTTCACAACGGCCTCATTATAGTTTGGTCAAATTCACATCTTCATGCCCGGACTAATCCAGCTGAACCTTAGTCATTAGGGAAAACCCAAACACCCAGCAAATAATTTAGATTGCTGTAAAAAAGAATCGATAAAAAAGCATAAAACCCCCCCAGAAACACAACAACGCACTAACGGTATCTCCAGTAGCTCTCGGTGTTGAGTCTCTTCCAAGTCTTCCTGCGACCAGCAGTCGTCTTGTTGTAGCGGTGACCCTTGTTGAGGCCACGGCTCTTCTTGCCGGTAGCGGTCAACCCACGGGACTCGCGGTGCTTGTGGACCGGCTTGGTGATCCAGTTGATGCGGGCATCACGGCGGATGGCCTTGTGTTGGGGGTCGACAAGGATGACTTCAAAGTATTTGTAGGTGGAGTCCTGGTTTATCCAGTAGGAGTCTGTCATAAAATGGTTAGTTTCCTATATTAGGTGGATTGAAGAGGTGAGGCCGTACTCAAGACGCGCAAGTTTGCACAACGGCGGCCGACACGCTCCTCGGCAGTGGAACGGAGAGAGCGCTGATACTTCAACTGGTTGATTCCCTGGTTGGTGGGCTTACTATTATCAAGATTGCCATCAGCTATATACCCCAATTCGAAATTTCGAACCCCCTTACCCGTAGGTAGCACCCTTAGGAGCGGGCCTCTTGCGACCTCCACGTCGGACACGGATACGATAAATGACATAGCCTTGCTTAGCCTTGTACCCCAGACGACGGGCCTTATCAGGACGAGAAGGGCGGGAGGCACGGTGAATGACATCTGTAATTTTCCGACAACTCATTAGCAATTGACCTCATCGTCCAGTAATTCCGAATTCAAACGCACTCAAGGACCTCAATTCCCAGCAGCGAACACGAAGCAAGAAGCGGAGAATATCCGACTGCTTCTTCTTGTGGATTTCTTCAACGTACTTAAGGGCACCCATGTCGTCGGTCGTCTGGCGATAAGCTGTTGGTTAGAGGTTGTTGATGGCGTGGTAATTTTTACTTTCGTGGGAGAATGTCTGGCGGTGGGTTCCGCTCGTGGGAATGTGTGTGCGCGGGCAGTCAAAGTGGCTAGGGCAAACCCTACATTCAATCTGATAAGATTTCCAGACGATAAGCGAGGTCACACGATAGCAAAGAGCCTCAGGGCTAAGTGTGATCTGGGAACACCTATTCCAGCATAATTAATTGTCGAAGTGAAAATTTTCATCATTGTTGTTAAGTTTCCGTTTCGTTTCTCTAACTATCATACCGTACTTGAGCTTTGTGAACCCCACTTGCTGTCTCTCGCAATGAGCCCTGAGCTATCGAATACCCGGAACATGACGTCAACCCTACTTTCCCCACCGAAACAACACTTGGCACCGATTCCATAGTAGGTCAGGTATAGCATCTCGAGACTCTCACCTCTTTTATAAGCTCAGCCATCCACAAGTAGAAGCGTTTCAATCGACAAATTACTAGGGAAATGGCTTTCAAGGTTTGACTCCCGCCCAAGATCCTCAGCTAGGGTCTGCTAATGCGGGCACTAGACTCTATCCGCCAAGAGTACCGCTGCCTTAGACAAAGAACTTATGAGCACAGGAGCCTTTTCCATCGACCAGCTTATGGAACTAGCTGGGTAAGCTGTAACCCCAAATACTTATCTAGGGTTTAGTTTACAAGATACTGACATCTTGGGTTCAGATTATCTGTATCTCAAGCCGGTATTGCCACTAACAAACATTGAAATTTTGGAAGGCTAAAAAAACCCCGTAAAGTCTATAGACTTCATCCTCCAAGAAAAGGGAAAAAGATCCTTATTGCTTGTGGACCGTAAGTCTTGCGCCCGGGTTAGTGTGGCGAAAGCTGATGTGTACGGTAGTGGAAATAATGGTTCTCTTCCATCCAGGAACCGATAAAAAAATACGGTACTCAAGAGCTGACAAGCTGCAGGTGGTGATAGCCTGGTCGCTGCACGCCATCTGTGGCATTATGACTACCAACCAACAGTCTACTACCCCAAGCAATCTAAAAACGAACTCTACCAACGACTCACAACACAACTAAAGAACCTTGGCGTGCCTTTCACCGAAGACTTTGGTGGGGCCTTAAAAGACACAAGTCATGTTGTTGATGCGATCTTTGGTATATCAACTAGCCGAGATCCCGGGGCATCACTAATAGCTTCCACAGGATTTAGTTTTTCGGGAGAGGTCCGAGAACCCTTCCCGGCGGTAATCAGAGCTCTGAAGGAAACTACTATTCCGGTGACCTCTATTGATGCACCTTCTTCGTGGGATATCGAAAACGGACCTCCAAACGAAGGGCCTGGGCAGGGTTTTTATCCAACTGCTCTAGTGAGTTTAACAGCACCAAAACCATTGGCAAAGTTCTTTCATGGCAGGCATTTCCTGGGCGGAAGGTATATCAGCATTTGCTTCAACTTGCATTTTTCTAACATTCTTCAGGTTTGTTTCACCTGATATCGCCCAAAAATATGATCTCGAACTACCAGAATATGACGGGATTGATCAAATTGTGGAGCTTGATCCCAAGACAGGGCAAAAGCTGAAACTCTAATTTGGAGATGCATCACTGTTTATATCTGGCTTTCCTCTTAACAATATTATATGACAATCTGCCCGTGGATCCCAGAATCCTATTGATACCACTGTATTAGATATTGTGTCAGGCTTCTCCTTCCGGTAGATCTTGATAACATTCCAAAGTGAGGCCCTCGAGGCACGGTCACGTGTGGGCACCAGCCACCTAACAACCAAACCCCAGTTTTGCTGTCATCGCCTAGCCCGAACACGGAATTCTCCATTTTTCTTCCCCTTCAACTTCGACATCGTCTTCTCTTGACCCTTCTTGTTCGCCAACTTCTAAACATTTTTTCCTATAATAGACTACGAGTAGTTTTATCTCGCATGAAGTTTCACACCCCAGCCAACCAGCGCTGTTAGAACTTTACTTTCTACCCTACTCTATTTTGCACTTGCGATTCCTCATAAGTCAGCTATAAGGAAACCCTAACCTCGTTCAAGAACACTGTGCCCGGCCTCAGTCCCAGCCTCCACTCCACTCCTCCCCTTCCTGCTCCATCCTTCTCCTACAGCTGCTGTTCGATCGCCCCTTCCCCTATTTATGCGCCTTGCCCACTGATATCCCCCACTCAACCGTCATAATAACACCCGTTGCAGCTGCCGTCGTGTACATCCAATCATGGCTTCCTCCGCATGTACTTCATCCCTCTCCTACATTTCTCTCTTTCCATTCCATTCCGTATCTCTCTCTTTCCCTCCAGCAATCTGTGTATCCAGTTCCGGTGCCTATACATCCTTCGGTATTTGTTCGCGCTGACAGTATCTTGAATTATTAGTGTCCGATGAAGATGTTTCGACGGTAATGATCCACTCATTCCAATTCGGCTGGCGGGCTGGTATTAGTGCATGATGAGTTGTCTAACATTAGGCGTTTTCCGCTGTTACCGTCATCAGTTTATACCGATTATCGATGCTATTCTTTTTGAGTCTGACCTGACAACTGTCTCCGTCAAAAAAGTCCGCAATGGCCTACAAACTAAAGTTGGCTACGATGTTACTTTTCAAAAGGCTTGAATTGACCTCCGCTATTGCATTAGCCGTGCACGTGCTGACTCTTGAATGCAGAAGCAAATTGACATTTTAATCGCTGATCGCTTCGAAAACGTTCTCGCTCAGCGGGAGTTTGACAACGGGGTTAAGCAGGAGGAGGATGCCGAAGGGGAAGATGAAGACAAGTACGAACCGGAAGTCAAGGGAGAGGTCTTCGAGGATGGTTTCTCTACTGCGGTAGACTTTGAGAATGCTGTTAAACATGAGTACTCGGTCACTCCCTCTAACAGGAGCAAGTCCGTCGTTGATGAGGACGCAAGACTAGCTGCTGAGCTCCACGCTCAATGGAATAGCGGTCGCCCTTCTAGATCCACCAAGAAGAAGTCAGTAAAACCCGCTCCAAAGGTCCGCAAATCCAAGATGAGCGACGTAAAAGTCAAATCTGATCGCTCCGGCGGTGAGAGGCCAGCAAAAAAGAAGAGAAAGGCTAACCCCAATAGTCCTTTCATGGTAAGGACTCTAGTCCCTTTACAGCCCACTTCTAACCTACCACAGGCTCCATTGATCCTCTCGGAACCTCTGTCGGGCCTCTTGGGCGAAACCATGGTATCTACCTTACCCCCTACTCTCACCCCACATCCCGTAGGGTGTTTTCTCAGGCTGACGGTCCCCAAGCTCTCACGTCCGGAAACAGTAAAACGTATTTGGGCGTACGTCAAGGAGCGCAATCTCCAGGACCCTGAAGATAAGCGTTACATTCTTTGCGATGATTCCATGAAGCCAATCTTTGGTAACAAAATACACATGTTGTAAGTCGAGTTCTACACAAATACCAGACCGACAAGCTTCATTCTAATTTGTCGCAAACAGTACTATGAACAAGGTACTTGCCCAGAACATGTATAAACCGGAGGAGAAAATATAACATCATGTCGCCATTGCTGGTGTTTTGTGATCTACATCAATGGCGGAAAAACTGTACAAGGGGTCTTGCTGTATCAACAACGGTTTTTTATTTTATTTTTCCCTTCCCTTAGTTGTGGTCCTAGGGGTTTTTTTTTTTTTTTTATCATCCTCGGTTTGTCGCTTTGCGGTTCTATCTTACCGGGCTCTTTCTACTACGTAGCGTTTTTTCTTGGATCTGGGAACTGGAGCTATTAGGTCATTGGGGTATTCCTTTTTGTCTTTCTCTAATCCTGTTTCTCGGTAATTTTCTCTTCTTTTCTATTTCTTCCACTTTAAGGAAATTGAGGGTGGGATGGGTCAGGGGTAAGCTCTATTTGAGCGTGGGGTAACAGATGGTACCTTATTCGATTGATATGACATGGTTGACTGTGTGGCCAGATAGATGGATGGCCTTGATATATCTATCGGGTACCATCGTTTTTGGGATGCTTATTACTCTAGCAGATGGTACTGCTCGGGCTTATTGTTGTGAGTAGACCGTCAGATATCCGGACGGTATTGTAGTACAGTCAATTTAATATAGCTTTATGGCAGTGGCCTGCCTAAATTTCTACCAAGGCTAACTAGCACGCACAATTCTATAGGCCATGAAACAGAACACAAACACTAAAACATTAATATCAGACTGCGGCTTTGTAACGGTAGTAAAGGTGGCGGAAAGGAGCCCAATGATACCCGATAGGAGGGCGAAGAACGACCTGCAACAATAAAAGGGTCCGTCATATGGCTTCCATCTCTAATATCACGAAAAATCGCCACTCCCACCACCATCTGTCAATCGATCCAGTCATCCAATCATCCAACCATTCACCAAACCCCTAAAATCCCGTATCATAACCCGTAAATCCCATGATGGAGAAAAAGTGAAAGAACACCGATCGTATCCCAAAGAAAAAAGATTAAATTCCCAGAAGAGTATACATTTTTTTGTTTCGGGTTTTGGTTTTTTTGGGCCGCTTTCGTTACCCCTCTTATTCGCTCTGACTCTCTAAGTTCCCGGGTTGGGGTTCATCTTTCTCTTTCCGCCGGTCATGGTAACATTGACGAATCGACGGGTGTAGCTGTTTCATCCCAGTTGTTAGCTTTTGCCGAAGGAATATAGCGAAGGGGGCAGTGGGTGATTACAGAATTCTCTTCTTAGCACGGCCCTTGGGCTGCTTGGGCTTTTCTTGGGGCTCAACCTGTATATTGTTAGTTGCGAACTCTTCGGTTGGTGCTGGCGAAAAGAGGGGGACAAACCTTGGGAGTCTGAGACTTGACTTTACCGGCACGAGCGAGTGATCCATGGACTTTACCCATGATTGCGTTTTGTTTTGCGAAACTTTGCGCCCAGTCAGCCGGTGAGTTTTTCCTTCTTTCTCCTCGACCTTTAGAAGATGGCGTACCTTGTTGTTTTCTGGCCGTTGAGGTTCAAGCCGAAGTTTGGCGGTGGTGAGTCGGCGGGTTGTTGTCGTTGGGGTGGTTAGTTTGACTGATTGATTGTTGAGCGATGGTGGCTGCTTTGTTGTAACAGTTGTACCACGGTGTGACTTTGTTTTTCCTCCGGAGGACAGGGCTGTAACCTAATTTTTGCTGCAACTGCAGTACACGACCGTGCCCGGACTTGTTTCTCAACCAAGATTTGCCTTCCCCATTTGCAGTCTCATAGTGGGTACAGGTACAATACTCGGACATGGAAGGGAAAATCGAGCAAGGCAGATACAATAACAAGGAACCTCGGGAATCATGTAGGTGACATGTTGGGAAAGACGGGGGGGTCGGGGGGGTTAGGATGCCAGAGTAGTTGCATTCTGATATTTGTGAACGCCAGCTCTTACTACTCTCTTTAAAAGACTTTAAAAGTTCCAAATCCTGGATTACCCAATCCCCTGCACCGAAGCACCAGTTTTGCCTCCATATTCATTTAAACTTTATAAAGGAAAGTAGGGAAAAAAATAATCAGTCCCATGCTACATCTGCCCAGTATCAGTCTGGTACTTGAGTCCGAGCCCTCTGAGCTGCCGATCTTCTCAAAAATTCTGGCTAGCTCAGTACTTGTAACGATAGGGTTGTCTGAGGAACTCGATTTTCAGATCCATTTCGGAGGTGCTATAAGCTTTTTTTTTTTCCTGAAGTATAGTGTAACTATCAGAGTGCCTACTTATTCAGTAAATTTTAAACAGATGTAACTTAACAGGCAATTAACTTGAACATAGGCTTAGAACTGGATACACTGTAATCTTTCAATATATGCTGAGAAGATGGGAAAATAGGTACTAGCCTGATACATTAATCTATAGTAGGATGTGTTATAAAGTCATAATGTCATGCTCAATATCGCTCCAATTTTGAATTTAAGAGTGTTCTGGGGAGGTCAAAGACTGCTCTATTGGGTACTGAGGGCTCGGAATTATCCGGCTTGTTCTGTAGCAATTGGGAAGTACATTCCTTTTTCCCAGGAATGCATTCATATAAAGAAAATAGAAATACAGGAAGAATAAAATGTATCATAAATAATAGGGGGGTTGAGGAATGAAGAGAAGCACTTTTATATTCTTGGAGTAACTATGGTTAGATAACCATGATTCCTCTTATTTCAAATAGGTTATCGTATATTACGCCCAATTCGTTCAAAAGAGCCGTTTAGCAGGTGACATGGTTTCTTGTAACCTTCCCAGAAAATTACTACTAGCACTAACTTCTAAACGTGCACTTGGAATAACAAGTCAACTACTTTTTTAACAAAAGACTAGCCTTCTTCTGACACTTATGATATTTACAAGCTCCTATTAGTTTTCCCCTAAGCAGCAAGCACATCTATCTTTACCCACTCTAATTGCTTATCTTTTACGTTACTCTCGGATCTACTTTCTGTTCCGAGGAGTGTATTAGCTTTGTTCTTCTGTAATTCACTCACTAGGTTTTACCCAATTTAACCTGTATCCTAAGATTTGTGTGTATGCACCTATCATACTTTATTGGGTTAGATACGTTATGTTCGACGCCTGTGGTTACTGGGCTGTTGACAAGTCGTGTGACCATGGCTACAGGCGTTCCGGCAGATATTGAGCATTAATGCATTCGGAAGGCAACCCACCAATAGGCGGGATTCGGGCTATGAGATGTTTCTAATTTTTCCTGCAACACCTGGGTCCTGCGGGGCCGATAGGGGATGAAATGTTCTCAGAAATCTTTGTGGCTTTCCTGGTTGAAGCGAGTGATATATCGTGAATTAAGTCACCCAGCGGATTCTCTGATTTCTCCCTTGTGGCTAGAGAAGGTAGGTAAATACCACTCTTAACCAGCAAGGCTGTAGTGACATCGCAACTACCTTGGCATATTTGAATTTAAGCTATGTTGTAAGGCAAGCGCATATTCCCATTTCTTATCATACGTGGCATTCAGCCGCTCTCTGACAAGTTGCCCTAACGGAGCTGTTAGTATGGTATGTGGCAGAGAAGCGTAAATAGAGAGTTGAAGGCGTGAGACAACATTGATTTCTTAGCTCATCACTTTATTAGGCTGTTATCTAATAGCGTGGCCTGAGAGGGGCATGATGCTGCGGATTTGTAGAGTTTCAATTACCACTTAAACCAGGCGCAAATGCGTATGGCCGTCGAACTTTACACACTTTGTTCGAAGGCTTTTCAAAAGAACCCTTTGACAACGGACAACACATCTATCTTTAAGATATATTAACCAAAGCCCAAGCGACAAGATTATGCAAGCGCCTTGGAGAGCCATTCCATCCCTTCTCAGATATCATAATTGATCACTCGCTCGATGCGGCCGGAAGTCCTCTCCCGCATACGCTCTTGTGTTGGCCGCTATAATACCAATATCTGTGACACAAATTACCGAAATTTTCAGGGGCCGGAGTGCAATCCTGGAAGGCTCGCCCATTGCGGTCTGTACTATTGTTAGTACGCCATCGCAAATCGAAACCTACCAGCTACCGGTATTCACACGCAAGTAGGTTCCCTGGCGAGCAAGGAGGGAGAGAGGAGAAAGTCACTCCTCCTCATATTAATACCTCAGACATTGATACCATATGGGGACTAGGCGGCACTTTCACCAGAAAAGGAGAAGAAGAAAAAGTGCAACGTGATTTACCAATGACTTTAAAAACTAGTGGGGGCGGTGCCCTTGCCTAGCTAATCAAAAACCACCCGGCGCTTCATAGGATGCCAGATACCGAGCGAGAAGGTGTTTCTCGAGTGGATCTTTTGGCTAGCAAACCGGAGGAATCGGGCTTGTTTCTTGTCCTACATCTGCGATGCATCGATGGGGCTAGCTCGGCCTCTGAGTTGCTCTACCCAGCACAAGTATCCATGCATGTGTGCAGGTATGTAATACCCTTGATGGACTGATTTAAATATAGCTGTCTGTGCGTACAATCACTCCAATAGGATGTACTCATCTCTCACTGATCGGTTTTAAGTAGCCGCCGGTGTATGCACTTAGGTGTACAAGTGGTAAATGAGATTTAGGTTTGGTCGGAGTGGGCTTTGGTCTTGAGTTTGGATATCTCTTGGTGTGATGCTTTGGTTATAGAGATATGAGAAGCTCTGGTGAGATGCTGTTGAGAACCGGTTTAGATGAGCGTGAGTCGGGGCTATCTCTAGGCAAGTACGCCAATGGATTTCCGTGTTATGAATTATGGTAGAAATTGTGCTCGCAGCATATCTAAAGTGCCATCAGCTTATATCCATTCTTGTGAAAGCCCCAAGATATGCTTGCAGCTATGATACCTCCATAAGTATGGTAGATTCCACCACTACAGTCTTCCGAGGGGGCGCTATAAGCCTGAAATGACCTAACATAGTACCTAAATACCCATCTTCTCCGTCATGGATATGCGATCATGTCTTAAGCATTTAGGTAACACAAAGTAGAGTGATACCCGTGCATCGCAGGCTCTGCCATACTGTATCCGAGTACCTTATCTTAATGATCCAAAAATACACTTCTTGGTACCGGTATTTGGGACGTCCAATTTGAGTAGTTGTCAGGAGGCTGGATTGAGATGCGTTAGGCAAATGGGCTGTGAAAACCCGTTTTGGGCGCCTCAGAAAGCTTCGCCGTCCCGGTGTAACCGGATTGCCGAAATTGGGCATGTTTTTTTTTAAAGATAGTCTTTATGCTTCCGCTCTGCCCAGCGCTCAGGGAAGCGCTGCACCGTGCTGTGTCCGCGAATTGCCTTACACGCTGTTCTCCCGAGAGAAAATCGTGTGAAGAGAAATAGTGCGTGGGGGACTGCGGATGGTTTCGTAGGCGTGTGAATCCCCGTCCATCCTAGTCCGACAGCAATACTTGAGGGCCAGTACAGTACTGTACAGTGCCCGGGAGACTATTTTTCATTGACTAACTTTACTTGCGTCTTGGAGCTCAATATGGTATTTAACCCTCCCTTTTTTGAAGTGAAATTATTTTGTAGTCAGTTATTACGCCAATTTAGACTTTAAGGCTAAGCACGTTCTCCACCGGCAATTCTATGCAGAATATGATACCGATGTGATTACTATACTTGTACTACATGACCCGATATACGCCCCGGTTGGTGAGCGGTGGTGGTATGGCCAGAGTCGGATCTAGTAACGAATTAAGCGCCCTATTAAGACGCCCAGATATAAGTTATGGAGCAGTTATTTGATATTAACCACCTAAATATATCCCTTTCTCCCCCGGTTAATGTTTTCATAACCTTGCATCTGCAATTTGTGGATTAGTATGATATCCATACTGTTGAACTCGCAAGTCTTAACGATGGATAAAAGTGGAAGCCCGATTGCGCAGGTAGATAATAGATAAGAGAAGTTTGACTTGGAACTGGGGGGGCGTGTGGATAAGCATGGGGGATATGGTAAAAAAACCTTTGTTCCATCTAATCTATGATACTCGAGTAACAGCAACGGTCGAGACAGGTATAAATAAAACATAATCAATGCATCTCGATCCTTCCATAGATCACCACACCTATCTCTATTTCCCCACGCATGCCCCCCATTCCTCCGCACACTCCCGTGATAACAAAGGAAAGACATGTTTGGAGAATCTCCTCCGTAAATCTCTGAACCTCCATTCTGATCTACAAAACTCCTGAGCTCGCCCGTAGGAGATCTGAGATCGGGAGCGACTCAATCATCGGCAAAGTCAGAGCTCTAGATGACTGAGCCGAATCCCAGTTTGGACCATCTCGCCCAAAAAATACACTCTCTCTCGTTGAGCTCGGCACATCAAAACATCAGCCAGCAGACTGTGATCCATGACGTGGCACGCAGCTTTCCGGGTCAACCTTTCCACGGTTCGCAGACCCGAGTACGGTACCGTACCTCACAGCTTCATTCAGAAGAGCTTGGTCAGTTTACCGTGCGGCCCGCATTTAGTCCCTTATTACTTGAATTAAATTACACGTCGGTGTGGGCGCCATATCGCGGGGTTGTCAACGCATGCCGATTCTACAATTCTGGTACAAATAATCGCGGGCCGAACCTGTATGAACCCGTCTCCATAAATACCCTCTATACTCTATCTATGTCTCTCTCCACTGGCTAATGCGGTAGCAAGTAGGTGCGCCTTCCGTCTGTTTGTGGGATGCAGATGGGGAAAATAAGCAGGACGCGGGCGCCAGGCGGCTATTGGGCTGTGGGAAACCGCACGGAGAGGGTAGGCTCTAGTAAGCTACCATCAGACCTTCTCCAAGCCTCTAGGATATGCCTGGATAAAGAGGTATTTAACCATATTCTCCGAACAGAAATAGTGGCGACTTGTTATTACTATAACACTATACGGTAGAGGTATTTTCGGGGCAAATACTACCCCCCCGTCCGAAACACGAGCTTCTGCCGTCAGCACTGGAGCGGCTGAATAGAGATACAGCTCCAATCAATGGCTCCGAAGAGCGATGTCGCAGCTTAGGCCGATGTCTCCACCTTTTTTGTTATTTCTCTTCGGCATTGGACCCCGGTAGCACTAAAGATATAAGATTCAAAATCGGTCGGAATGTAAACCCAAATGTGAGATCTATGTCGATGGGTGTGGAGGAAATACGGATAGGGCAGTTTGGCAGACTGCATCGCTGTCATTAACCTTATATCGGATTTTCTCTCCCCTTAAAATTTGTGTTGAACTTGCAAGCAGGGCACTTATAGTGCAAGTGTGGTAGCGGGTCATACAGTTACTAGGGGTTTGGAAGATGGATCTAGATATTCCGAACCTCCAGGGAGTTCTCCGTCGTGCGCAGTAGCCTAGGTCGGTGGCTGCTATAATACCTATCACAGCACAGCGAACGAGTGACTAGAGGTGATCATGACTATATATTTCCTGCCGTATTACTACGGCGGCATATTTACCCTAACGGAGATATCATACCCGTAGTTAGGATTTCTGAATGTGTCCTGTTCTTAACCAACCTATATCTAATATCATTGATTTACTCGATATCTCCGCTTTACAAATATGTTGAGTAAGGTGGAATAAAGTGTTTGACCACAAGACAATATTATGTGGACGAGGTATTTCTCGTATGGATTATACATTCTGACATATCCGTAATCAAAGTTCAAACATTGAGTCAACTGGTATCGTTTTGAACCCTTTTCGGACATAAGCAAGCCCAACGAGGAGACCCAAAGGTGAAGAAGGCAAGTTGTATCGTGCACACATTGTTGGGCCTCACAAACCGGTAAGCCAGAACCCTCCCCCGAAAAAGAGAGAATTCACACCGGTACTATACGACATTCCTACCCGGAATGGCCGAGTCCCTCGGCACTCTGCAGGCGGCATACCGGCACTGTACAGTACTCGAGTACTTGGGTATCATACTCCACATTGTATCATACCGAGGGGTCTGAGGGCTGCCTCCAAACCTGGTAATAGTTCTCTAGCAAGGTCTCAACGCATAAGCACAGCAGATTGCGACGAATGGCCAAAGGGTGGCCCTGAGCAGGTAATAGTTCCCTTTCTAACCCTTGCTTTGCTTGCTGCCATGGCCACCTCTCTCCCCTCTTCAGCCTAGTAATGCGGTTTGTCAAATACCGGTACCGTAATTACACACACTAAAGAAGAAGCGGCGGCTCCATAGGGCTGCCCTGGCTGCAACCAGAGTCGCTGGTCGCATAATCATGTCTCGACAAATAGCCGTCCTGTACAACAATGCTATATTTAGCTACGCCACAGTTCCGCTTTCATCTCGAGCTACCGGTACTCGAGTAACCCCCCACCGGATATCGGCCAAAAAGCCATCTAGAGAAGAGGCTAAAAGATCATGGACCTTAAACCCACCCCGAGTGTTAAAGTACCGCGTCCTGTGCTACCGTAGCGGTTGGTGCTCGTATCATGGGGTTAGGAGTGAGCATCGAGATGTGAAGGCCACTGAAGCCTATAGTAGCATTTAAGGAGATTGAGGTCACTGGTACAGTACTAGTACATGTAAAGTAGAGCATAAATTGCACCTCCCAATCAAAGAAAATAGGGATATAACAGATCTTGTGAAACTTAATTAGGAGACCTAGGCTCCTGCGTTGTGGAGCACAAGTACAATTTGTTCATGGGATCCCCGGTCCTCCCCGTGACTCAGTGCCGGCAGGCGACATAAGAGTTCTTGGGTTCAAAGTTGCTGGGAAGCTATTGCACAGCCCTTAAGAACAAACGGCGAACTTTTCTAGAACAAAGTACACAGTGTTGCCCACTTACGAACGGCTCCTGAAGATCTATTCGTGTGTGTGTGGTTGCCCGCAAGGACAAGTCTCTGGTGTGTGGGTGCCTGTCACACCTTGTGCGCTCCCATTTCGTTTCAGCACATCCCATCTTGCCGGGTTGGGTTGGGCTGAAAGAAGGGAATGCCTTGAGAGAAGCCTAGCGAGCAGAAATGAAGAAGCCAACCCAGGATGTTGTAAGTTGGGGCTGGTTTGACTTTTCGTGGATGATAATCCAGGTGCGGTACTCGAGTAATAGCCTGACAGGATCTTAAGTGGTAGTACGATACTTGCGGTAATAGAGTGATTTCTAATTTTGCGGGAGTCAGAAAAAGCTACCCTACTGTACTCGTACTATGTACAATACTCGAGTACTCTCTCGCGGTACTGAGGTGTGAGTTCCGGTCCCTTCCCTTCTTCTCTTCTTCCTATCCGATGATCAAGCCTCGTCACTCTACAAAGGACGCTGCGGATCGAAAGGATATCCTGTACAGTAGTAGTGCAGCAGGAGCCCAGTAGAAATTGCGCAAATAAGAAAAACGGAAGGTGATTGACTTTTGTCACTAGATTACCATACACAATCCTCGTGGGTAAGGTATCTACTGCGGGGGGGTTAGAGTAGCGGGCGGTTGTGGGCTACCGTCGTGATAAGAATAGAAGGATTTTGGAAGGAAGGGGGGGGGGGTTCCAAGAAGGCCCAATGAGCGCCAGCCCACCACCCCACCTTCTTTCAGGGGACTGTGTTGTGTGTGGAAGAATGAGGCAAGGGGAATCAGAGGCAAGAAGTCGGTGGTGGAAGAAACAGCAAGAATAAGAAAGGCTACTCGAGTACAAGTAAGAATCAAGGACAAAGGATCAGGAGAAAGAGGAATGTTATCCCCACGCTTGAAGTTAAAAGTGAGATTAGTGAAATGAAATGAAATGAATCGGTGCTGTAATATTAAATGTTGTATTAGTGTTTTACTGTACCCGTATATCCTAGGGGCCTCAGGTGCAGCAAATTTTTGTTAGAGCAGAAAAAACCTCCCCCGCCGCCCCTGTTGACTGTAAATTCACTTTTCATCTTCATCCGCTGTCGGCTCGTGATAAACACCCCACCATCACCATCATAATCGCCCATCATCGTCTCCCACCAAACAAAATTTCACTGACTAACTTACGCCCCCCTCCTCCCTATTAATCTACGCTCCCTATATCCTATTATTGAGCTCGCTCATTAACTGAGCTCTCCCTCGATTGTCAAACAATCATTCTCATTCATCTTAACTACACCCTTCATCTCCGTTCTCCTACACAAAACTCCTGGTAGCGAGACGCCGCATTCCTGTTCCTTAGGGACCATTACACAGACCCTGCACCACCCCGCAGATACCGGTACGGTACTCTCGTTCTTCACCTCCTTTTATCGATCACTATTACCGACCGCTACAGTTAATCGAGCACCGGCGTTACTGGAGCTTGAAAGACTTAATCGATCAATCAAAACTTATCACTTGGTATCCTACTCGCGCAATACGGTAACGATACCTTGCTTCTTCTGGAGTACAGTACCACCCCCTCACCCCTCCCCCTCACTATCCTAATCATCAACCTCCTCCCTTGGTGCCCTCGGAATATAGTAGATTGAGGCAAACGCCGCCCTTCAGTATTATCCATCCACCGTCACTGTGCTTGCTTTTTTTCTCTTTCCTCTTTCCAAGATTATCGAAAAAAGCATTATTGTGTGGATATTCTTCTAGGGTTACCTCTTGAACCCTTGGGCACCGCCTCCCCGAACCAAACTCGTGCCTGCCTGCTAGGGAGAAAAAAAAAAAAAAAAAGGGCACTATTGTACTTTCGTCCAACGAAGAGGCTGTGCGGTTCCAGTTCCTGTCGATCGATTGCGCCGAATCAGCATTATCAAGCTTCGAAGACCACCCGCAACCACACTCGAACAACCCCTACCCACAATAGCTATATTCTCCCACACATACCCGAGCTGCAAGTGTTCCTTAGAACCTTCTCAGTGGGCAAGTCACCTCGAGTAAGCTCCTTGCGCGAGACAAAAAGGTAGCATTCCCCACCTCGTCACTTCCTTCCCACGCCTCATAACATAACCCCCTGCCCCATCTCGATAACCCACCGGATATTGACCTTGCGAGGCACAAACTATATCGTCACTCGAACTCACTGGCGTCTGTTTTTGTGGTAGACTAGGATACCTTGGGCAGTCTTCGAGAAGTAACGGGATCGGATCTAAAGCACCAGCCTCCTTCAAAGCCAACCTTCACCACGGTACTATACCTATCCACCTCGATAAACCAAGCCCAGCTTTGAGAGATCGGGCTTCTTCCTAATTCCAAGCATTGCGGACACTGGCCCTAAGTGAGGGTTTCTTTAATTGGTGCCTGCTTCTTTGCTTAGCCTCATACCCTCACCAAACTTCACTACCCCCCCCACTCAAAGCCTCACTCTAATCCCTACGATCTCATTCCACCTTGCACCCTAAGAAAAATAAAATAAAATCGCAATGTCCTCTACAAATCGTGGCCAGAGTGGGCAGGCAGATGGCTTAAATCTCCAGCACTTTGCTACCTCCACAGACGAAGATTCACTATACGTCCCGACTGCCGCAGATCAAGACTACACCGGTTTTCAAAGATATCCTGGATACGGCCTAGATCAACAGCGACTAGAGGATATTAGACGAAGCACCTCACCCCATCTCCAGGCCTCTACCCTTCCACCGTCCCAGCACCCCAGTAGCGGTCGCCAGGACTATTCCGACTTTTCGCTATACCCCAGCTCAACTGATCCAGCCCTCTTCGATTACGAAAATAAAGAGGGTTTAACCAGTGGAAGTATTAATCCTGCGGATTTGATTAGCTCGGCGCACTCCGCGCATTCTTCGCAGCACAACACACCGCCGTTACATATTCATCCTAATCAGCAACAATCATCCCAGCCCGACTCGGCTACTTTCCTCTCTCTAGGGCCAACTAACCCCTCCCCCGGCTCCGAGTGGGATCCAGTATTTGCACATCAGGAGAGCACTTGGAACAGCCATCGCAAGACACCTAGTGAATACTCGGAAATCTCATCAGCTGCTGCCAGTCCATTCCTTCAGAACTCAGAATTCCCCGAACACTCTTCGCCCCTACTTCAAGGAAGCAATCACCCCCAGCAGGGGTCTATGCAAGATTTCTTGAACTCTAACCAAGACTTCAATCCTGGTGGAGATTCCTTCGGGTTGGATCAATTCAGCCTCAACGAGCGCGACGTATCACCTCACGTATCGCCTCGGGTTAGTCCGGTTCCTGGTCAATTGAATAGCGGTTCCAATAGTCCTTACATGTTGCCTCAGGAGAATCAGTACCTTTCCTACGTTCCTCCCATGTCACAGGATCAAGGCATGGGACTTATGCAGCCACAACACCCTCCCGCCGGACATGGCCTGGGAGTTGACAGCGCTGGTCCGGGTGAAGAGGGACCTTTCCCTCAGATCAACGTTATATTTGCTCCACCACAAAGGCAACCCACATTCCCCGGTAAACCAGGATTTACTCATGACGACAGTGCTCTTAGCCCCCCTCCAAAAAGTGAGTTTCAATCTCCCTGACAATTTCCGATGATTGAATATTAATCGTTCCATAGGTCCTCAGCGTAAACGGTCTAAATCGGACCCATTCTCCGGCTCGTCATCTGGGGGTAGCCCCATTACCCGACCAATGGCTATTCCGTCAGGTTCACAAAGCCCCGTTGGGAATCGCTCAAGGAGAAACTCGTTGAGCCCTGTTGACGTCGTTACGGCACCTGTTGGTAGTCCTGGAGCGGCTAGCAGTGCTTCTAGCGCCGGGAAAATTTCGCGTAGATCTTCAACCAATTCTCTTCCAAACAGGGATTACTTCCTTGGTCTGGCATGTCCTGGAAGGCCCGGAAATGCAGCTAGCGAGAAGAGGGTTCAAAAACACCCAGCGACTTTCCAATGCACACTGTGCCCCAAACGTTTTACACGTGCCTATAATCTTCGTTCACATCTTCGCACTCATACTGACGAGCGACCTTTCGTTTGCACAATATGCGGTAAAGCATTCGCCCGTCAGCACGACCGCAAACGCCACGAAGGGCTCCACTCTGGCGAGAAGAAATTCGTCTGTAGAGGTAACCTTAAGCCGGGAGGAGCATGGGGTTGCGGCCGGAGATTTGCGAGAGCCGATGCTCTGGGCCGTCACTTCCGGAGTGAAGCTGGGAGAGTATGTATACGCCCACTACTCGAGGAAGAGACGGCAGAAAGGCAGCGCAACCAGATGCTTGCTCAAGGGCAAATGCTTGACCCTACTCTTGGCCACCTATCCGGTCCCAGCGATCAACAGGGCATCGCGGGTCCCAGTTCTATGGACCCAGTCAATGGAATGGTGTTCCCCAGCGCTCTTTTAGAACAATACCCTGCCTTGGCGAATATGGAGTGGGGCAACATGGCGTCGGGGGAACAAGATGACATCGCAGAGGGCGAGGGCAGTAATCGCAGCAGCTTCGATGCTAGCGGTGGAGAATGGGATGAAGCAAGTGCCAGCGGGGGGTCGGCTCTAGCTAGTCATAGAAATAGCTATGACGGGAGCCGTGGTGATTGGAGCGGGAATGAAGAATGGGCCAGTGATACTGGCGGGGAATATCATCATGAGAGGTGATGATGCTGAGGGGGCGTTCTCCGGGGCGCTCTAGCTATGCTTTGCCGAATCCGCAGATTCATATGGACGGAGTTTGGATTTCTTTTGTGATACCTTTGGCCTTTTTCTTTTTTCCTTTCGCATTTTCACCTTACGTTTGCTCCTCCGTTTACAGTAAAAGGTTGGGTTGGTCCCGGAGTCAATCGCTTCAAAATTTTAGTCTCTGTCTTTCGCTGATATACCCTTTTTTCTTTCCTCTTTTTTTCTTTCCTTGGGGATAGGGGATTAACGGTGATAAGCGAGGATGGCATGGGCCTGATATTGATTTCTTACTCTTTCTCTACTTCTTGCTATCCACTTTTCTTCAATTCTCTCTGGAATCTTTTTTCCCTTTTCCATTGTTTCCTTTGGTGCTGTCACTCTGCTTGGTTTGATGTTTGATGATGCCTTTCGTAGATTGTTTATTCGTGTAATTTCACACAAATATTACCCCTACTGCCTTCCGTTAAATACTTTATCGATTTTTTGTGCTATCGGTACTTGTGAGGCTAGTGAGGGGTTGTGATAACTTGAATAAATGCATGAAGTTGTGATAGTACAAGGGGCCGCATTAAGTCTTCGTAGAAATATAATCGAAAAAAAGAGCCCTCGTATGATACAAACCAAAGTGGCTTCTCCACCAAAATCCGTTAAAACCGGTGATCGCTGAATGCCTGTCCTTTGTATGACACTTCGTATGATACCGGTCTGATACAGTGCAAGTACTGTGCTGTACCAGCACCCTATCTTTATGTGTGGCTGTGTTGCCGTGTGTGGTGGTGGCTGGTGGTGCAGTAGCCTGGTATTATCACTGCTTATTAATCTGCCTGTGCGCAGGCACAGTATCATATCATATCACAGTAATTTACAGGTATAATACCTCCAACCCAAACACAGTTGGCGGTTTTTGAATCATCCCCCACGCACAGCCCCACATCTACGGGGGGTTAGCTAAATTACCAAAGTACCGGTACGGTACTACAATAGTAAGGTATGATACCGGTACCCGAGTGCCTTATTCTAGTAAGCTCACCTGAACTGCCGCAGAATTTCCTCCGCTACATTGCATTACTATAGGTATCGCGTCGTCTTGCACCACTGTTCCTGCAAGCCCATCTTCACCACCAAAGATGTCAACCACAGCCCCACCCATCAGGCTCCTGCCCGAGTCTGTTAGCGCGCGAATACGCAGCACCTTAACAATAACGAATATATCCGACGTGATATCAGAGCTACTCCAGAACGCAATCGACGCGGGAGCTCGCAATGTGGCAATTGCTGTGAATCTAGGCAGGAATAGCTGTGTGCTCGAGGATGACGGTCATGGGGTAACTCCAGAGGGCATGCTCCTTGTCGGACGGGAACATGGTAACTATCTGATCTTTCCCCGCCCACAATTCTGTACCGCTCAAATCGTGGCTGATGTTTCCTCCGTCACTTTGTTGTCGGGTAGCTACCTCTAAATACCCGCCCGCTGGAGACTTTGGTTTCCGGGGACAGGCTTTGTCGGCTATTTGTAGGCACTCCCTAACTACGATTACCTCCCGAGCGGACGCGAGCGGACGGACGGTTATGCGGAGGGTGTCGTACGGTCGCGAGTTGTTTACCGGGGCAGCGCCGGAGCACCTGGAGCTCAGGAGGTCGGGTACGGTGGTTAGGGTTGAGGGGTTGTGGGGGGACATGCCGGTACGGGTTAAAGTTAGAGAGGGCGTGGATGTGGACAAGGAATGGGACGATACGAAGCGGGGGATCGTGATGGTGCTCCTGAGCCGCGGGGGCGTGGGTGTTGTTGTCAAGGATGAGAACGGGGAGGTGAAGGTTAGGGTTAGGGTCGTTGTGGGGTCCGGATGGGAGGTTAAGGTGTTGAAGCAGGTATATGCTGTTGGTATAGATGGGTGGGAGAAGGTGGTAGCGAGGATGGGAGGAATCGGAATAGAGGGCCGGATTTGCACGCGGGGTAGTGCGAGCAAAGGGTTTCAATACTTGTGTAGGTTGGTCTCTATATTTTTTAGCTTGGTTATGGGCTGATGGTGAAGCACCGAAGACATTAATGGGTACCCTGTGCCTATGGGGACGACCTTGCTGCATGAGGAGATCAATCGGTTATTTGCTGCTTCCTCTTTTGGCGTGGTAGAGGAGGACGATGGAACAAAAAGGCTGAGGGGTAATCCGAAGAAGGGTGCCGATAGGTGGGCCATGTTTGTACTGCGTGTCGAATGTCAGCGACGAGAAGTGGATGTCATAGGTGGTGAAGGTGGGACAAAAGGGAAAGCCGGGCTGGAGGGTGATGTTAGCAGCTCTTCTAAGTCCAGATATCGGCTCCTGCTAAAGGTGAACAGAATCTTAGTGCCACAATCGGGCTTCTGCAAAGGCTCATTCATGAATTCCTGAGAACTCATTATTTCCGCTCCACCCTAGCGACGGCTACGAAGCCCCAAAGGGGCGAAGGGACCACAATTCGTGCATCCCCCCAATCGGCATTAGATCTTCTGGGCGAGTCCCGGCCAAGAACACCACTGGGTGTCCTCCGCAGAAATACCAATACAGCATCGTCTCAAACAAAAGACACCGGAAAATTGACAAAAAGTAGAGACCTCGGAGTATTGGCAAGCTGGAGCAGAGTCAAATCCGCCCGAGCCGATCCAAGGGAAGAAGAAGGCAGACAGGGTCCGGGATTTTCAAAAGCGCTTACCTTCTCACCCGCACCCCTCCCTGCTGGATCTCGCCTGACACCAGAAAAAGGGAGAGGAGGGGACTCCGTGGATGATTCCGAGGCCCCCTCTGATACGTGTTTTGAGTGGAGAGATCCTGTATCGCAGAAGACCTATACTGTCAACTCCCGAACTGGTAATACTATGACGGCCAAGGGTCCTACGTCCGGTAGGTCTATAGTTAGAGTAGGGGTGAAGAGGCCTTCGTCTAGAGATTCCTTTCTAGGGCGAAGGCTCGGTGATGACGGTAATATTAGTAAGAGGGCGTGTACAGAACCGCTATCAGAGCCCAAGGAGCCACCAGGGCCGTTTATAGAGAGTCTTCTCAGGGTAAGATCTGTCTGCTTACGTATTCAGTTATCAACACACAACTAATCATATATTTCCAGACCTGGGAGAACCCAGTCTTCAAACCAACAGATGCTCCAATCCCCCAGATCACTCTTCATACCTCCGAATTTGTGCCTGGATGTGCCCACCCAACGACCAACTCACCGTTATTTCTTTCCACTTGGACGTTAGGAAAACTGACCAAAACGGGTCTCCGAAATGCGGAAGTCATCTCACAAGTAGACAAGAAGTACATATTGATAAAAATGGCTGGAATAACTACCTCCTCATCACCAGATCCGTCCGGTCTATTGGTAATGGTAGACCAGCACGCCGCGGACGAGCGTGTTCGCGTGGAAGCATTATTTGCGGAACTATGCTCCCTAGAAGAGAGCCCCCAGGGAGACCAAACACGGGCACAGAGTGGGAACCTGACATACAAAATCTCGCACAGAGAAGCAGAACTATTCACCCGCCACCGCGCTTCATTCTCTGAATGGAAGATACACTACACCATCGCAACCAACGGAGGGAAAGAAAAAGAAGGCGCAAAGGAAAACACATTAACAATCACCTCCCTCCCGAGAATGGTCTCCGACCGCTGCGCCTCCGAACCATCACTCATGATAGACATCCTCCGCCGGCATATCCCCGTTCTTGAAGATACTACCGCTATGGCACATGTTGGCTCGGCGTCGACCGCCTCATCTTTAGACCCTCATGCACCATTACTCTCCCGTTGTCCAACCGCCCTAGTAGACATGATCAACTCCCGCGCTTGCCGCAGCGCAATCATGTTCAACGACCCCCTAGAGCTTGACGAGTGTCGTTTGCTGATTGGCAAACTAGCGGAGTGCAAGTTTCCGTTTCAGTGCGCGCATGGGAGACCTTCGATGATCCCGTTACTGGACCTTGGTGGCGTTGGGACCGAGAGCGGGGTTGGGAAGGTCGTGACATTTGAAGAGGGAGTGAAAGGGAAGGGTGGCGGGTTCAGGAAGGATTTTGGAAGGTGGGTGGAGAGGGAGAAGGAGAGGGTGCAGAGGAGAGATGATTAGTTGTAAGTAACTTAGTATTGGGGAGAGGGTTCTGGCATTATTGGCCTTTTAGCTTTCTCCCCCGCTTTATGGGCTGTATCATGAGATTTGGTTCCAGCTGGCGTTTATTGGTGGGTGTTGTTTGTTATTCTTTGCGCGGATGTGGGATTGTGTATTATATAGATGGTTATCTACCCTGCAGAGGCACCAGATAGACTTTGGTTTTCTTCGTGAAGGGAAGTCGTGTTATCATACGTGCTGTCTACAAGTATTCGTGCATATTCTAGAAAACCCGGACCTGTCAAGCTCTCAAGGGCCCGGGGTGGGGTGGGGCTAATCTTGCTTGAGCGTAATAAGTTTGTAAATTTGGTTAAAAGAGGGGGGGGGTCGTGGTCATGGCATGGTCACGGGACATCACCCGCTCCAGGACATGTTTCGATCTTTTTCACAGAGAGCGATTAATTAGCCGTATCGTGGGGATGATCTGGGAAGTTGCGTGTGGATAGAAACCCCCCGTGAACCGGGGGGGGGGCATGCGCACGGTGATTTCAGTCTTGGTGGTTGAATTTGTTTGGAGCAGTGCGGGGAAGGCGGAGAGAAGAAAACCTCTGTCTTACCCCGCAGAACCGTAGAGGATTAGAAGGCAAGAAGGAGTTGTGGTGGAAAGTGCTGTAGAGATATGTCCGTTACAGACGATCCTGCATATAAACTCCGAATCCCACTGTCCGCCTTATCCTTCCGGCACCGGCAAACCGCGATGTCCATTGGAGAGTGCTATAAGCTCAGGAGCTTGAAGGGCGCGATGGCACAAATAGTAGCAAAATCAGTAATACTGTTACAGAGGCAGCATTTATCCACTCGAAGAAGGATGACAGAAAGTGTGCCTCCGGGCCCTAAACCAAGCTAGACCCCCCAGATCGCATGTCCGTAGCAATTCCACTATGATACTACCTTAAGCCGCCGTGTCTCATGCTATGTGAGCAATGTTCGGCCGCGGTTGTCCGGAATATCGGGGTGGATATTTTCCCGCCTTAAGAGCAGCTTCATCATTCCCCTATACAAGGATATACCAGTACCTGTTCAGCATCCCGTGGAAGTAGTATCCAGTCGTTATCTAGACTATCCGCGTTGATATCTTCCCGCCCTAGAGGTAGCTTCACTTGCTCACACTTCATAAAAGCAGCCCAGGAAAAGGGTGCTTGACTATTGTTGTTTTGCCCTGTTGGCATCTTTGTACCGTTTGCAGTCTCGCCACTCTTTCATGCCATCCTGGAAACCCGAAAAAGTAATAGGCCTTCCATGTCTGGCCTATTAGAATTGATAGTACCATAAATTCATTATTCCTGGTGCCAATCCTGGAGAATTTCCTTCGAAATCTCCCCCAATCCATCAACGAGCTGTTTCAGCGAGGCGCCAAGCATACCGTCATGCATTGCTCCCGTTGCCTGGTGGATTCAGAGTAAAAACACACAACAGCACAACGATAAATTTATTTTGTTGATCACGCGAGCTGCCCATCACGAGGGAGCTATCACCACTTGTTAGCAACTCGCCGCTTCTGCCAGGGATACACTCTCCAAATGCTGTATTCTTACCAAGATCTATCTTCGTGCTATCATACCACCCCCGGAATTCACCAGTACAAGTATATACTTGTACCGTATTAACTGGGGAGAACCCCGTGGCGCTAGTACTGTACGTTCGAATAAGATTTTTAACAGAGTTTTTTCTTGAAATCGCAATAAAACGCCATCAGCCAACTCTTTATAGCCAGGACTAAGCTTTTCAGGGCTCTGATCGTGACGCATTTGTGAGTTTCACCTCAGACACTGCTTATTTCAACGTAAAAGTGTCGGGCGGTTTTCCTCGGTTAATACGGTAGTACCCTGTCCCACATTGCGGACTCTGTCGTTCGAAGATTGTGATGGCAATATATGGTGTTCCAATGGAGAAAGCCGGACCAAAATTTCGGACCCCTAGCCGGCCACACCAAAAGTTATTTGATATGTTATAAGTAACGCTCGAGTTAAGAAGATGAAGGTTGTTACTGAAAGCTAGAGATATCTCTCATTTTTAGAAGGTTGGAATGTTGTAGCGGGTGAGTTGGGCAAGTTTGGCCGATGAGATTCCCGAGAGCAAAAGGTATCATAGGTGCATGATAACTGTGATGGTGTAACCTGGTGGATAAACATCTGGTCTATTTGGTCCACTCGAGACCTGCGGTGTCAGTTGTTTGGTAAATTTAGCGGTGAAAACCACAAACGCCCCATGTCTTGCCCTTAGTCTAGAGGCCCAACCCGCCCAGGGAGAGAGCGAGCCTCGACAAATATCTCCAAACCCCCCCCCCCGCAACATTCATGCCCCTCTCTGCATTCTGGGAACTAAACCATATCGATCGCTCATCCCTATCTATGGACAGACTTTATCTTCTCAGCCTCGCACCCAAGTCAGCTCCCTACCCAGGTGCTGTGACGGCGCAGTGGGGGTCTAGACAATACCGTATGATACTTCAAACCGCAACGTTGGACTCGGGACCCAACCTTGGTGTCCCTAGGCACATAAGCCGCACGCTGGAGTAGAGTAATCATTTGGGGCGGGAAAATGGGACAGTGGATTTCAAAGCAGATAATAAGTTGTAAATTTAGGGGTAGACAAAAGAGTAAGACGACTTCGCGCTCATTTGCATATGTTTTCACCCCGCCAAGCCACCCCACCAAGCTCGGATACCTTAGAATTCAACCAGAAAAAACCTTGGTACTATGACCCTTCGAATCCGGTAGTCGTAAAACAAAGAAAACAGAAAAGATATAGAGCCCCAAACTACCCATAGCCATTCATGGCCATCAAACAAAGAAACAGAAAAGGAACTACCACCAGCTCCTAATTTAAACCTTCCTCTTCTGCAAAGCTCCGTCAACCTCTTCATTCCCTTCGGTGACCTTCTTCCCAGTCTTTGTGATCTGCGCTAGAACATCCTCGTATTTTAGAGTATCGTTGGTGGTGACCTTGACAATTTTGGTATCGAGGTCGATGTTCAAGTCCTCCACCCCTATTGTTAAATCGTCATTAGCATCATCGCCGCCGCCCGGGGGAGGGGAAAGGGGTAGTCAAGGTGGGTACCCTCAAGTTTCTTCAATGACCGGTCTACAGCACCTGAACACCCGCCACAGGACATGGCGACAGTGAACTGGTAGTTTCGCATCTTGATTCTTTTTCTTTGTTTATTCGTTTGTTGACTCTTCTTTACCTCGTTGCGTCGTACTGCGTCGAGATGTGAGGTGAGGTAACTATGAGGTCTTGTTGTATGTATCAGTGGGGTGAATGAGGGTAAGGCCAGGTGAGGTGAGGGGGGGCGGGTCGGTGGGGTTTATATTACTCTCATACAATGACAGAGGATCCCCCTACCGGTAAGCACAAAGGAACGCGGCGGGATTAGTCCCGCTGCCCGCAGGGTGAGAAGCCCCTTTCCGATACTAATCTACCGTACTCGAGTACTCGCACAGGATACGGGCGTTGAGCATGTTTTTGCGCTACCGGTAGTTTCACCCTTGATGGTGCGAGGGGTGGTTGTTTGTAGCAGGGTTATCGCAGCTTAGAAATGGAACGTGCTAAGAACGCCTTCAAGGTATCCCATGCCATTTATTCTTGTATTCAGGATATCGGGCCTGACGGCGACTGTTTTGCGGGCTTTTTGATTTTCCTTATCCTTCGTATAATACCGGTATCATACTTGTGCTGTACAAAGTCAGGGTCGGTCTTTTTTTGTCCCCCTTCTGGTTTTCGCCATCTGAGATACTATACCGGTAATTATGCGGTTGAAGCCGAGGTGTTGCGATCACAATCCTATGATTGGACGATGTGAACCCTAACCCTGTGGTTCCTGGATGCTATAGTACTTGTATCATATCATTTGAGAGTCATATGGGTCGCAATCATCGGTAATCATATCGCCCCTAGGAGTGAAATATCCAGAAACCCTTTGGGGGGAATCAAACGAATTAAGGGAGTATGACGACCCATCTCTGCCTGTGAACCCTTGGCTAAATGAAAGATTCCCTATGCGTTCCTCACCGGTATTCCCATCATACGTGTGTGGTCGCCGGGCTTATCTCATGACGCCGTATTGAGATCATATCTACATGATACTTCTCAATATCATAGTCCTGGGGGGGAGCAGTGGTCAATACGTGGGAAATTTCACCAAGTTAACCTTGTTGGTACTTATCCCCAGAGTATTAGGTGAACCGCACGAACCATCATCACCCCGGTTTAGTGCGATTCAATCAGGAGATTCGTAGCTCATGAACTGCGAACTGCGAACTGCGAACTGGAGAATGAGCTGCGGTACCAGTACCGGCTCTATAGGCCATTTACATGATGATTTGGTATGATAGAGCAGCGCGGCCGAGTCGTCCACAGACAGTCGGTACTCGAGCACACTGGCAAGCTTGGGTGTGAAGTGCCTCTTTGAGCCGTAATACACATCCCACATCTAGGCCGGCATGATGAGACTCCCTATTGATAATTCCGAGTGACGTAAAGTGATGGGTATTGCATTGAATAAGCCATCATACTCCGAGATCGAAGTGCAAAGTAAATCAACCGCAGAACATATATCACACCAAATCCAACCCGCCTCCCCTATTCCCTCTTCTCGATTCCCCCCTTACTAGTAATCTATTCAATTCCCCCTCTCCCGTACACAACTCCTCAAACCTCCCATCCTCAACAACCCCCCCCTTACTCATAACCACAATTCTATCAGCACACCTCATCATTTCCTTACTATGAGTGATAATAATAACAGTCATCTTCCTTTCTCCCTCCGCCAACCGCTTAATAGTCTCGTGCACCACTCTTGCACTCTCACTATCGAGGCTGCTCGTGCACTCATCAAATATCAGAAGCGAGCATGGCCTCACAAGCGCCCGAGCAATCGCAATCATCTGGGCCTGGCCACCTGAAAGTTCGCTTCCACCGTTGACCAAGCAGGTGTTGTACCCGTCTCGCAAACTATCAATGAATTCATGAATTCCGGCACTACGCGCTGCTGATTCTACCTCGCTGCGAGAACAACCTCCGCCGTAGGAGATATTTTCCTGAATTGTTGTGTTGAAGAGGGTCGGAGTTTGGGGGACTAGGGATATGTGAGAGCGGAGAGTTGGAAGGTCAAGTGAGGAGAGAGGGTCCGATGAGAGGAATATTGTGCCATGCAGTGGGAGATAGAAACGTTGGAGGAGAGACGTTAGGGTTGATTTACCAGAACCGGAATGTCTGTGGTCGTTAGTTTTGAACGGAACGAGAGAAGGTTTATGATTGTATACCCTACTATGGCAACGCATTCACCGGGATGTATGATCAGGTTGAGTTTGTAAATGACGGGGAGGCTGGGGCGGCTCGGGTATGCGAAAGTAACATTCCGGAAAACAAGTGGACCCGTAAAGTCTGGTGCCCTGGTGCCGTTCTGTTCATCGTGCGAGCCGAAGGAGAGCGTTGTTAGATTGAGAACACGAGTTGCCGTATCTTTGCTATTATTTATTTGTGGAACTAGCAGGTTAGCTGAATCGATGAAAAGGGAGGAGAGGGCACACTTGATCCAATAATGGCATTAACGTTCGCTAGGCAGAACAGCAATAGCGTAAATACAGTGACTATCTCCTCTAGAGTATAATGACCAGTTGATATAAGGCGTGCCCCGGAATAGAATATCAACGCTAGACTTGTTAACTATGAGATCGGAGGACAGGGGCAAAGCATACCCGTAGCAAATAATATGGTTGAATCCGCCACCCCAAACCCGATCCCTGCATATATCGCTCTCCGGATCCCAATCCCCACAGCAGCCCGTGTAGCTTTCAAAAACTTCCCCCCAAAATACCCTTCCAATGACAACGCCCTGACAGTCCTGATATTCGAAACTGTCTCCTCAAATATGTTCCCGATACGACTGGTGGCATCATTGCCCTTCTCCTCCCATTTACCACTAACCCACGAAAACCCTCTCGTAATCCCATACATCACCGGAGCAATGGTCAACCCAACAAGCGTCAGCTCCCAGCTCTGCGAAAAACTCCAGGTCACTCCGGAAATCATCATTACCGTAGCCACGAATGCATATCCAGCGAATCGTCCAAGAAGATTGCGCATTTCTTCTGCATTCTTTCCCAAGTGCTCTGTTATCGAAGATGCCTCGTGCCCGTCAAACCAAGTGAGCGGTTGACAGAGTATTCGGGAGAACGCCCGGATGCGGACGTAGTCGATCCATGCTTGCCCACAAGACTCCAGAAGGTAGTGCATTATGTACGAGTTTATTCCGTCTAGGCCGGCTATAGCGAGGACTAGTATTGACCATTTGCGAGATTCCAAGGGTGTATTGGTAGTGTCAAAGAATGATAGGAGAAGTCTCGCTAGAAAAAATGAGAAAAGCGGCGTTGAGATGCCGTGGAACATTGCTGCAATGAAGCCGAATATAAGGAGGATGCGGTAGCCTAATGTTAAAGATGGCCACACGGTACGCATGATTCGGTAGAGTGATGGTCTCATTCCGCCCACTCTTTGGAATTTCCTAGAGGATCCTAAAAGCGATAGGGGCCCCTGAAGAGATGCTTCGGACTCGGGGAGCTGGGTTTTTCTTGCACCGCTTGAAGAGCGGTTGCGTGAGGGTGGGGATTGGAAGCTAGGTAGTTCTGTGAGTTCCATGTCATTGCTTATCTCTATAGTATCCTCTCGGGCTCCACTGGCCTCTGGGGATGATTCACCTCCCATACCATACATATCGGGTACTCTGTCGGGTGAGAGTATATCCCCCACACCTTCCTTCCCGCGGTTAGCTTCCCGAGATGAAGCTTTCAGAAATGATTGAAATAGCCCATGCCTATCTTCTATGGAACTTCTAACACCAGATTGAACCAGTCTACCATCCTCAAGAATGAAAACATAGTTCTCTGGTTTGATCTGTGTTATGTCATGTGTGATTATAATAGTCGTCTTGCCTTTTCTCCATTCGTGGATTGACTCCATCACGGATGACCCAGTTTTATGGTCTAAATTGCTCGTCGCCTCATCAAGTATTAATATCTCCGTGTCTCTCAGTATTGCACGAGCTAACGCAACCTAACAATATACCATGCATCAATAAGGCGAGTTGTCGAAAACAGTTGATCATAGAATCTCACCCGCTGACGCTGACCACCTGACAATTGTTTCCCGCCAACTCCGGCAAGAGTATTATAACCGAGAGGTAATTCTGATATCGTATCCTCCAGCATTGCCATACGGCATGCATCTCTGATCTGGTCTTCGGTAACATTCCGATAATCTTTCCTTCCAACGGAAATGTTCCGGAATATCGTCTCATTGAATAGGACACTCGGTTGTTGAACCACGGTTATATTCTCCCTCAGCCATTCTTGATCGAGAGAGTTCAAGGGAAGACCATCGATAGTTATTTCTCCAGATACCGGCTGGTACATGTTAAGCACAAGATTGCCAATTGTGCTTTTTCCGGATCCACTGTGCCCAATTATGAACGTCGTCCTGTGAGCTGGGATGGAGAAATCTACCATGTTGAGGGCGAGTTGGCTTGGCCGTGATGGGTATGTAAATGAAACCTTGTGTCGTTAGCTATTTTCTTTGGAATCGGTTAGAAAACTCACATTTGTGAATTTTATTTCTCCATTCAATATATCTGGGACTATATCTCCCGTCTTTAAAGGCATCCTCCCCCTTTCGACCTGCTTCAGCGATCCCTTCAGCGATCCTCCTGCAGCCATCCCCTTCTGCAACAGCATCATCTGTGGCAATATTATCTCAAAGCTCTGGGTTGCCATAAGACAAGACCAAAACGTGGTCATAACATCTCCAGCATCGGCCCTCCCTCTCCGAACCAGCACTCCGCCATACCAAAACCCCTGCACAAACATTGCAAAGGTGATAAACCTAATACATCCGACCTGCAGCGCAAATAGATTCGCTTGCGACCGATACGCTCTCGCGGCCTTTCCTAGCGCCGCGGAAAAGTTCCGGAGCTCAAGGCCCTGAGCGTTGAACGCTTTGACAGTCTCGATAGCGGTATAGGACCTACTCACCGTGTTTGCCGAGGAGGACATGTGCACGTTTTGGGCTTCTATGAAGGGTTCCATACGGATTGAGAGCAAGGAGAGGAGTAAGAGTGCTATTGGTGCTCCTGAGAGGATCACCAGGGTCAGCGACCAGGAGTGATATAAAGCTATCCCTAGTGATACGGACGCAGTCACAGAAGCTTGGACCGTGAATCCAAGCGGTTCCGAAACTGCACTTTTGAGTTCATTGATTTGACTACCACGAGCTCAGCATTGGAAAACCATGATCAAAAGAAGGGAGGATATACGTCTGACACCCAGAAACTAGCTCGGCGATTCCCTTGCGTGTGTCAAACCATTCCATATCTTTACCAACAATACCCCGGAATAGCTCCTCATGGGCAACTCTCGCTTGAAGTTCTCCGAACACCAGCCACGACGCGAAGAACGAGCCGCTGACAAGCCACCTAGTCGCTCCGAGAAGTGATAAGTAGCTTGTATACCTCGATACAGAAGCTAGTAGTTCCTCCGAACCAATATTGTTGCTGCTATACCCTGCAAAAGAGCTGAATATTCGACCCATCAGTAAGGACATTGTGGGAATAGCCAATCCACTCCCAATGGAGAACAGCAATGCCGGTAGGAGTGCTACGAAATTCCGTTTGCGAACGAAGGCAAAGAGCGAGGACAAGGAATTTTGCTTCGCAAGTCCGTGGCCGTCGGCAGAGACACCTTCGGTTAGCTTTTTGGCCTCCATGGTTTTTTTGTTTTCCCCAAGATTAGCGAAGGTAGAGGATTTGATACCGGGGTGGACAGAGTACTCGGATATATAGAATTTCATTGTTGAAACCTATTATATTGGTTGGGTCCGGATGGGGCTGAAAGAGGCTCTTGGCGTTTAGGGCAGTAACTTTATAATTGGTGAGGTAGTGCTGTGAGGGTGGTAATGATAATTTTGGTTTTGTATGACACATAAGTGCATAAGTCTTGGTATGATATGATACTTCTACGATACTGTTACGGATGAAATTTGATTTTGCTTTCTTATATTATTTTTAGCTAGTTTCGCAAATCTTTAGCTTAGCTTCACAATTATTTTAGTTAGCTCTTTACTCAGAATGGGGAATCATAAATTGTTTGTATTTACTGGGAGCTGAATAGGTCATGTTCTCAATGGGAGAGGGTTTGCTAGGCTTGGCGGACAGGGGGGTGGAAGTTTAGTCTATATAGCCGTGGTTTTCTTCTCCTATTTTTTTTTTTTTTTCACCACCACCACCACCACCACCACCGCATTTCAACGGAGGAACGGAGGAACACGGAAAGTGGGGAAACGGTTTTGAATTTGTGTCTTGTAGCGAGATAGTTGGACAACCAGGACAGGTTGGATTTTTTTCTCTGAGGTTTTTTTTTTTTGAGGTTTGTCTTGTGCGAAGAGGTTGATTAGCTAGCTTGGAGATTGAAGGTGATCGCAATTGCAAGGCATTTTCTTACGGTTCGAAAGTTTCATCAGTGATAGTTGGTGACTAGCAGGTTCTCATCCTGTGAAGTACACATACCATTCCGCACAATTTTTTGTTTTTCAATACCCATAGGAACCGGTAGTAAGCAGATTCATCGTGATTTCTTCTTATGGCCTGTTCAGCAAGAACAATCTAGAAGTATTTGAATATTTCTATATATATATAAAAAGTAATAAACAGCTCATTTTCATATATCCAAAGCAGGTGAACTCCAAAGAAAGCAGCTCCATAATTAGATCTCAGATATTCCTCTACGTATTCTATGTGGAGAATAAGGAAGCAAAAGGCTTAGTGCCTGTTTGGTTGTGCTGATTCAATTCTGTTGTCCCATACAAAGTGAACATTTCAAAATGGAAGGACCACCTTTTTTATATGGGGAACGGTCGCAAAACCAAACGGAACCATCGCAACCAAACAGGCCCTTATGCATTCTAGAGCAAGGGAAACAGCGATATTGCAATATTGTGCCTGCCGAGAAGGCCCTGATGTATTTAATGAGAGGAAAAAGGAGATAGAAATTATTCAAAGAATCATGCGGCTCTTACTGATCAAACCCTTATTTAAAAAATGTCTGGAGGACCACACGTTGGCCAACCAAATTGGTGAGGAGGTGTGGTCCTTTATGATACATTTGTCGAACAAGAAATCTTACAGTAGCGTAATATGGCCAACCCTGTGGCAATCCAATTATGTCCCTAAATCAGGCCCTAGAGGCACATTTTGCCGCTGCTGGCGGCACCCGGCGACCTGTATAGTATAGTAAAGGAGGAGTTTCCCATAAGCCATCAGAGCCGAACAGGCATCATATCTCTACTATCATACCTCGCCCAATCCTCGACTTCACGCAGAGCGATACCTTAGTTTGAACCCTTTTGGTGCTCTATCCTTTTTAGCCAACGGCTGGGCCGCATCCCACAACCTAGGGTAGGCAACACAGAACTTTCAAACAAGGAATTTTTCTTCAGAAAAAAGTCCCCTTTTAGCTGGGGGGAGTCCGGGAAAATCATACAACTCCTTCTCTTGGTTGGGGAGTGTCGATATGGGATTCCTGCCATGAGAATAAATCTAATAATAGGAACAGCTGCAGGACGCCTATGGGATAATTTCTAAAAGAAAAACCCGCATGCCTCTATTCGGCACATAGGAGAAGGTTTTGAAGGATGATTGGACCATGTCATCATTACTTAGGCTCTGTTTGGCAGGCCATAGAAATGGCGCCTTTCTGGGTTTCACAGCATACTTGTTGCAAATAAAAATTTTGAACATTGACTCCTTTTAGTTATAGCTCAACTCGCAGGCCTCCTCTTGGATTTTTGATTTCATCGAAATTGCCAGTAAGGCATCTGATATGAAGATACCTATTTTGTACACTTTGATTAAAGGGATCCGAGCTCCAGCAAAAATTGAGCTCATAAAAAATGGCGTCTCCTATATTACTGTGTGCCAAACATTATATCCCGTCTGTTAATGAGCCAAAATGCCACCATAGGCCTTGATATGGGGAAAAGGGTCCTTAGGGTCCCGAGTGATAAACGGTGACTTCCCGTCCCAAATCTTCTTCATAGCATTCAAATTCAAAGAAATATTTCAAAGCAGGCGTCAAGTGAATTACGCCTTACAATTATATGCACGATCCGGCTTTGTAGGGTTGTGCCAGGGCCGGTGCGGTCCCAAACTTTCAAAATATGCAACCCTAAGCTGCAGGCATTCCATGCGACACTTGAAAGACTATTGCCAAACGTGACATTCGCTCATTTGCCCTCATGTTCTCCAGAGTCTGGCGATTCGAAAACAACCCTAGCCAACTTCAACAGGCGTATCTAGCCAACAAACTTACTTGAATGAGGGTTAAAATCTCCCCTCACCTCACACACCCTCCCCACTTCCATCATCACCAACATCATCCCCATCACCCTTTTGTCCACAATTACAACACCAACCCTGAGCCGCGGCGGCAATGTCTGCCCTCATAGACAAGAGCACCAGGAAACGGATAGATGTCGCGGAGAGGCTCAAAACTGCTTATAAGAAAGTTATCCTAAAGGCCGCATGGTTCTGCTATATCAGGGATCTGAGAAAGGAGCAGAAAAAAATGCGAGCCCTAGCAGACACTCTTGAAACCAGCGATGCTAGCAGCGAGTCTGCAGAGGCTCTGGCAAATTATCTGTCTAATGAGCCGGAGGAGTTTCAACAATTTTTGAAGCGCACAGGATGGAAGCACCGATTTCAGTGAGTCTTGTCTGTGAACACTCATGCCCAGACACTACCGCTTCCATAAATCCTGGAAGTGCTAACGTCTTCTCTAGGCTCTGATTCGGTAGTTTTGGTTATTCAGCAATGCAATCTTGAACGGATATCGTCACTACTGCTCACTCGCTCGTGAGGTTGCGTTCCGGTTGCAACTTGACATGATTGATAAAAACGAGGGGTACGCTCCCCTATCTATACGATATAGAACTGGGCATCGGCCTACGAGTTCGCACCAGCTTATCCCCCGACCTGAGTTATCCACGATGCGGTATATAGAAGGATGCTCCAGCAAGTCTTGCAATATTATATCAAACACGGCATTCCTCTGGCAGGACCGGCCTTGAAACCTTTGTTGGCATGATTTTGGACCACTTAAGAACACCTGGCAGGCCAGGCTCTTTCATATCTTGTACTATACAGTATATTATCGGCTGGTATCAGTCAAGTCACTTGATGAATTATGATAACTAAAACAATTATCAAGATCTTTCACACAATGTACGAAAACTAGGGCTAGAAATACTAACCGTTAGATATATTATGCCAAAGCGGCCAATTTAACGCCTCATGTGTAAAAAACCCTGCCAATAACACCTTTCCAGCCACAAAGGGTTTATTAATTTCACGCAGCTCTTCCTCTGCTCCAGTTCGTCAGGATTGCCTTGGAGAGCCTAACGAGCGTCCTGAAATCCAGACTTTCCGAAACTAAGACAAACTCACCAGCAAACTACGATATTCAAGCTATCTCACTGAAGCCAGAAGTCCAGACCCGAGAAGATCTGACCGCCCGGACATACCCACCCGGGTGCCGGCTGATCTCTGGATTTTGCATGAAGAAACCGACATTGGCCTCGTTTCGAGAATTACCAGCCCAACCAGTGATTTCCGGTTGTTAGAGATTCAAGTGAGTCCAGTAGACCTGGGGGATCGCTCGCTAAGAGAACACGAGCCCTAGAGAAGGCATAGATATGCCTCCCGCAGAAGCAGAGCCCGCATGGTTCTTTCAACCGGCCAGTTCCATACAATCGCCTATTATACCCTTGGGATCCCAAGGAAGGCTAGGCGGTTGGGTTCCCCGCGTGCTCCAATTCTCCTCTTGCAGCGCTCGGGGGGCTATGTGCCCTTATTTGTACTCGGTATATTGGTAAGCAGATAAGTTACCTAAATTCCTGTGCTCTGGATTGCCACCCCCCTCCTACTAACTACACTCATACGCATCTTCGAGCAACCTTTAAAGGTGCCCCCCAAGCTCACTCTCCACATATCTAGATTGCCTACAGCACAATAAGTCTCGACGTTCTCGCTCTCGAAGATCTAATCGGTAACACAAACGCGGATTCCCTCCTAAGCGCCAAAGTTCCTTTCCCAGATATGCTGCGATAACAAATGCAACGTATTTGAGTGAGACAAAGTGGAGTTTGGATAGGCTTGTGATTTAGGGACAGCCGTATGGTCTAAAAGTTTCCTTGAAGGGCATATCGCAGGGATATTCCGCAAGCCTATATTATCCACCGCCGCTTTATGCTACCCCATCTTACTCGAGCACGAGTGCGCCCATATCTTCCCAAATAGCCCACCGGTACTGGAAGGAGCCGTGTATTCGAGTATTTAGGTTTTTGGTAAATTATGGCATACTACTATGTACGAGTAAGGTGGGCCGTGCTACGGATAGGATCGGAATTCTGTGCAGCCATGATTCACTCGATCACTCACTCGCCAGAAAAGCCCACAGAACAACTCCCAGGACCCCCTCCCCCTCACGCACAACCACCCGAACAAAGAGTTAATGATATAGCACCGTTAGGTAAGCTGCGGTAGCCGAATCCTAAATTTACTAGGCAAAGGGCCAGACTAAATGACGTAACGACCTACCTACGAGTACATGCTCCCCAAACATTTCAGGCTACAAGCAAACGGCAGTTGGCACTAACTTCCTTCCCCCCCCTCCTCCATCACTTCATTCATCCGTCAACATCCTCCTGCAAGT